GGTTGTTGCATATGAATATAGAAACCCCATAAACTCAACGTTTAATACACATGTAAGTGATGATGATGAGCACCTTACGAATGGGGACTGGGCTAATGTTAAAATGCTTGTTGATTTTTTAGAAAAAATTCATATTACTACAAATGAATTTTCTGGGCAATATTATCCTACTATTTCTAACTGTTTAGTTTATATTGCAGAACTTGTAAATTTGTTTATTCAATTTTTAGAGAGTGAGGAAATTTATAAACTTGCTATTGATTCTATGAGAAAAAAGTTTAAAAAATATTTTTTCCCTATTCCCCCTATTTATGATGTTGCTGCTTTGTTAATTCCTTGTATGAAATTAGGAGATCCTCAATTTTGGTATGAAACTATTTATAATGGCTTAGCACTTGAAGATGCTGAGTTGGCTGGACTTCCGAAAGCAATAGCCTCAATTAGAATAAATGCTCAAACTATTTATAATGCTTATCAAGTTGCATTAAATCATGCTAGATCAAATGTTCCAACTCCTTCTTCTTATGATTCTCAATCATCTAAAAGAACTGCGGGAGTAGGGGCACTTAGTGCTTGGGCGGGGTTTATGGGTTCTCAAGGTTCTAGTAATAATGATTTTTCACAACTAAATGAGCTTGAAGTTTATTTGTCGCAGCAATTTGAGGAAGTGAATTCCGACGGCTCCTTTAATCTTTTGCAATAGTGGAAGGACAAAGAAAAATACTTTCCGGTACTTTCAAGGATGACCCGAGATATTTTAACTATTCAAGCTTCAACAGTAGCATCAGAGAGCGCTTTCAGTCAAGCAAGACTTCAACTCGGTGATTATAGAGCGTCTATGAGGGAGAGCTTGGAAAAATTAGTACTTTCCAGAGATTGGATCCGTTCGGAAAGAAGAAATTTTGGACTTGCTGAATCACAACCAGAGGAAGACGAAGCTTACGAAGAACTGCTAGCTGAACTTGCGGATGATACTGCTTCGCCCGACAATGGAAGCGGTGATGACCAAGCTACTTTTCCGCCACCACCAACGGAAATTCTTCCGAACCTTGAAGGATTTATGAAGTTTGTAAGAGATACCATGTAACTTGTATGAACAAAAATTAGTATGTATTATATAACTTGTATTTTGACACATCTTGATTAGTTTCTTTTTCTTCTTAATGGTGGTATTAGCACTTTGTTGTGCTCATTTGATAGGGGAGGAAGACTAAGAAAGATATTGCCATATTTTTTTAATGCTATAATAAAATTATAATGCATTACTTTGAATATCTCTTTACAATATTTTTGTCTTTAAATTTTGAATTAAAAAATTTAGGTCACAATTCTATAATAAAATTTACAAGGATTGCCTTAGATATTTTTTTTTTACATCTTTTTCTCTCTAATTTCAATTCTATTTTTTTTTTTAAAAAAAATTAATATTTTAGCCGTTGGGCTCACTTTGCCCGTTTAGCTCGGAGGCCCGGCCCATTTAGCCTGGGACCGTGAGTTCGTGGGTCCGGTCCCGGGCCGGTTCCTATAAAATGACCGTTTAGCCCATTTAGTTAGGGACCGGACCGGGACCAGAACCGTTTGGACCGGACCGAGACCAGAACCGTTTGGACCGGCCCACTTAGCCAGTTTAGGACCCGGACCGGCCCACATGCCACCCCCTAAGTCAGACAAACAGATGAGGAAATAGAACAAAGGAACTAAAGGACCTATAATCTACAACTAAAGGGTAGAAAAATAGGTAAAGAAATACAATACAAAAGCTAAAGGGCTATAATCTACGACCAAAGGTCACAAAGAAAATGTGCAATAAAGATTATGCTTTTACCTTTTAATTAATTCACATACAGCTATTGGTCACCGTAAATGTAAAATATCTGTGTATCAGTGTGTTACCAACACTTCAAGACTCAAAATTTGGATCTATCTTCTATTATGACATATCAAATCTAGTTTTATTTAGTGTGAGATCCAACCTCTGCAGAGTAATTTTTGGAGGAAATCCTTAGGCGTTCCTTCATCTCTAGTTCCAAAATTTAATGAATTGTTTTTTTTTATTCCACCACCCATGAGAATAATTATTTTTTTTAAAAAAAAAAGCTACATAAGACCCTCTCAACGAATTGAGTTAAATGCAAGTGAGCGTTCAAATTTTTTAGGAATTGTTACACAAATAGCCGGTCAGATTCGACGTTTATTTTTTTTAACCGGTATACATAAATTATATATTATTTATACACAGTTATACATATGTTATACACGAATTATATGTATATTATACATCTATCGGCTATTATTTATTTAAGAGATCAGGTGAACGACTATTTGGGTTAATTCTTCCTCAAAATATGTTGAAAAGCCCATTTCTACTTGCTGACCTAGACCCAATCACTATTGTAGTTGGCTCCACCAATCAGGCCCAGCCAGCCCAAGATTAAGAGTCATGAGACGAGCAACTGGAAACTTCTATCGTTGTGAGTTGTGACCTCTAATTATCACTTGAAAGTGCTAAGTCAATGCTGCTACTTTAGCATGCAAGTATGTAACTAATAGCCATGAATAATTCAACAGCCTTTCAAATGATGAGAATCTTAGGTCCAATCGAATATTATACCATATCATGTACGGTCAGACCTCTCTATAATAACATTTCTGTATAACAAACATTCACTGTAAAAGCCAAGATTTCTCCGGAACCGATTTTTTAAGTTATATTTTACCTCTCTATAATAACTTTTTACCTATAACAACAACAACCATATTTATAGCAGAACGCTCTTTGTAAAATTACCCATCTATAACAGCCATATAGAATCTTTAAGATTACTAATAGTAATTCTAAAAATACGCGCACAATCGTTTCTACCAAACAAAGTTTCTATATTGCATAAGATATAAGATTTGAAGATTTGCACATGATATCTTTTTCATTAAACAAATTCCAAAAAATATTTAGAAATAAAATTTAACTGTTAAGCTCTTAAATTGTTTTCAAAGTAAAGCTATTGGATACTTTTTTGCCGAAACTTTGGACACAAATCTTCACCAATTCAAACGTTATATCGCTAGTAAGAGAATGAAATCTACGAAACAAGCTACAATTACAAAATTGTTCCATCAATCTTGAAAGAATTTATTTTTCTAGGTAGCTACCTTTAATATCCGCCTTAGAGTTTAGTTATGAATTTATTAATAATGTATTAGTTTTCTTCAATATTTAACTAGTAAAATATGCATATCTTTTGAGATTTTAAATTTGAATAATTTTTTTATTTTTTATATGTAATATTAAAAAAGGAAAAATAATTGATTTTTAGATAATTTTTATCTATAACAGCCAAAAAGTATTTAAACGTCAAATGTTGTTATAGGTGTATAACAGTCATTCACTATAAAAGCCAAATATATCGAAACAATCGAGACTGTTATAAAGAGAGTTAGACTGTAGTTATTGATTCTTTCTTCATTTTAGTATATATATCTTTTTTACTTTATCCTTTAAAGAGTATAACACGTTTACCGATAATTTATTAATGAGTGACTTTAAGAGGAATATATGCTCTTTTAAAGCTTTTTTTCCAGTATCCGTTACATGCCGAAGATAATTACTAATTCAAGTCATTAGACAAGGAGATAGCGAACTTCTTCCTTGTGTTGCAACGTACGAGTTATTTATGAGAAAATAAAATCTAAAATATATTTATAACTTACAATCATTTATCAGAAAATATAGTTTTTTCTTTTCTTTTGTAACGACCCAATTGATCATTTGAGACCTTGTATAGTTTTATATGGTGTATTATGACTTGCATATATAGTTAATTTTGATGTTCGAGAGGCTCGGGATTGATATGGAAGAGTGATTCTCAATTTGGAAGCTTTAAGTTGGAATGATTAATTAAGGTTTGACTTTTACATAAATGAACTCGGATTGATGATTTGATGGTTCTAATATGTTGGTGATTTGGACTTGAGCATATGTTTGGATTTCGATTTGGAGGTTCCTAGAAAATTTTGACTCTATTTGTTGGAAGTTGGTAATTTGAGGAACTTGAGAATTTTTAAGCTTGATAAATAGTTAAGTTTGATGTTATTGGACTCATATTGTTGTTTTGGGACTGGGACTGAGGTTAGGTTCATGTTGTTATTGAAATTTGTGTGCAAAGTTTGGTTGTGATCCGAAATGTCTAAGTATGATTCGAATGCATTCGGCGAAGTTGGAAGTTAAGAAAGTTTAAGAAATTGAATTTGATCTTCAAATCTTGGTTTTGGTGTTGGAATTCGTGTTTCGAGCCTTTGGACAAGTTTGCATAGAGTATGTGAACTTGTTAGATTGATTAGACGGCCCCCTTGTACCTCGGGTGAGTTTTGGGTAGTTTCAGACCACTTCTAGGCCTTTTTGAGTTGTTGATAACTGATACAGAGTTGTGAATTGTGATCGCGGAGGTCTGGGTCGCGTTCGCGAAGAGCAAAGTGCATTTCGGGGCTTGTGAATAGCGATTGCGGAAGGAGGGAGCTTATATCTTGCAACCTATAAGTAATTTGGGAATGATCTAATAGATGAAAAGTTATACCCTTTTGACTTTAATTTTCATAAAATTAAACCGCCTTACAATGTAGCAGGTGATCAATTAAAATTTGGGGAAATTTTGTCCTAGTTGAGAGAGTTAGGGAGAGAAGAAGATCGACTACTTTGAATGTGGGGGAGAGAAAAAAAAAAATCAAATTTTAACCTACTTTTTAGTTTTTTAAATTCTATTCCAAATTTTTTCTGTTTTTAATTTGGCCCTCGACCAGACGACCACCGTTAATCACCCCTTAATAACCAGCCCTTAATTCCCAAATCCTTACGGCATATACTTGAAACGCCGTACTTGAAAATTGAAATGTCATTTCCAACACATTTTTCCAGTTACATCTCCCCGTCCC